AGCTACAGGCAGTGGCGAACCTGGCATACCGCGTCAGGGGGGGGGGAAGGGTTTTCCCCCCTCCCGCGGTATTTTGATGTTTGCGATCGCGCGATTTCATGCATACCCGTACCTTACTTATGTTTTGTTGATTTGAAAAGTCTTCATAATTCGAAAAAGATTGTTTTATTGGGAGGGGGGGGGGGGGTTAGGGTTAGGGGTGTGACACCCAAATTTGCTGCCAACATTTAAGGGTGCGACGTCATCCAAATTTGCCGATTAACAAATGCATAGCATCTACCACCCTCCTTCCCTATCCTAAATGTTAATTATTCCATGGTTTAATTAGGCTCTTATCAAATTAAAAAACCTTTTGAAGTAATCATTACCCCCTATAATATTGAAACATGCAACTAATTTGTTTCTACATCGTGATCGACCTGAAAACAAATACAAAAAAGTAATTAGCCCCCTTTTTGTATCTGAATCCACATATCAGTGATAAAAAATAATCATGCGAGCGCGAGGCATTACGAACTGATTTTTCCCTCAACAGTGACAGGAACTGGGCTTATGAAGCCCTTCAAAATTTCTGTCGGCAAATGCGTCACTCTTTTCCTCTTTCCTTCCCTACTTCTTTCATTTTTTTTTTCTCTCTCTCTCTCTCTCCTTTTTCCTTTCTCTTTTTCTTTCCTTTTTTTCCCTTTTTTTTCTTTTCTTTCTTTTTCCTTTTCTTTCCTTTCGTTTCCCTTTTCTCTTTTCTTCTTTTCTTTCTTTTTCTTTTTCCTTCCTTTCTTTTCCCTTTTCTCTTTTCTTCTTTTCTTTCTCTTTCTTTTTCGTCGGGGGGGGGGGGGGGGGGGCAATCCGGCCCCTTCCCCCCCCATAGGTACGCTAGTGGCTACAGGACATGGTCTGATAATTCTATCGTGAATAACATGGCGGATTGCTAGACTTAAATTGTCTGATTTGTTCGTATTGGACATCGAATCTGTAGGCTATATATTCCGAAAAGCATCCCCCTTTATTGCATTTACGCCCACAGGCGACAAAGCCTTGTTGTCTCACTTTCTTCTTGTCCATTCTTCTTGTCCATCGTTCTAATTTTATGTTAAAACCAGCATAATTGACATTTTGGCATTTTTGTTTTATTTATGCCCGAGTGGGTATAATGGCCTCTAGAGGCCTATACATAAGACCTCCTCCCCAACTGCTGTTTTAACAGAAATAAATCTTAATTTAATTACGTATTTATTTCATTTCATTAAACATTTTTCCTGTGATCTAGTCTCTATGCTTTTTCATTTTCTTTCTTTTCATTTATAACTAAAATGAAGGCAGATATGGGAAGGGTCATGATTGGTCAGAGCAAATTGACGTGTTTGTTTGGAATCTTTCAAACTTTTGTATTACTGCATTTGTTAGCCAAGAAAACCTTTTAGAATAAAACAACCTGACTCCCATAGTAGCGTTTTAAACATTGGTAAGCCCCCCCCCCCCCCAAAAAAAAACAACAAAACAAAAACAAACAAACAGATTCCTTTGATTTTATATGATAAATTGCAAGAAATAGAAATTATCAACGGCTTCGATCATTTATTTAAAAATAGATTTATAAGCTAATAAAACAATATAGACCTAATAAACTTAAATTTGTTTTACCCCTATTTTCAAACTATTCTCGAATCCTTACAGAGTATAATTCAGGTTATTTTGCCACCTTTAGAAGTTGTCCGCATCCAATAGACGAAAAGGATTATATTGTATTTCTTTATCAATTTAAAATTTGCCATTACTGTGCATCCCTTACAGATTTATAACATTTTTTTTTATTCGGTTGTACTGATTACGAAACTTGAATTGTGGGGCCGGGGGGGGGGGGGTGATCGAGGCTCTTTGCATCATCCCATATCCTCCCTTCATTTTTTTTTTGGGGGGGGGAGTGAACTTTAAGGTCACTCTACATGATAGAAAAAACAGATTTTAAATATCATAAACTATTTTCCTAATTGTAATGGGTTTCATCAGTATAGTTATTGTTCAATACTGTAAAGACTGTGTAGGACACGGGCGAGCTGATGTGGATAGCGTATTTTTGGAATCATTGGAATTTTTATTTCAAAATAATTATAGCGCAAATTCCCTCACAGTCATCGTCCTTTCATTAAAACTAACGGTGTAGCGTTTTGGGAAAATAAACCTTAAATTTCTGGTACACCTGCCCTCGCTTTCTATCAGCACAAATAGTGAAGATATAGCAATTCTGATACAGAAAGAGAAAAATATTTGCGAGCGAGCGAGCAAGCCAAAATAATGAAGTTTTTTTTCACAGAAATGTTTTTTTCTTCTTTTTCATCCAGCATAATTCTATTGTCAAGGAGGGGTGTACAAATTGGCGATTATGGAGGAGAATTATTGTTTACTTTCCTTCATAAGACACAAAGTGTAATATACATGTTGGTCGCCTTTCTATCACAATGGATTACCATCTTTATCAGAAAGGAACTTGGATTATGATAATAATCGAGAACATACTTTGTGAGCAAGCGAGTGATCTGGATTTTTTTTTAAACTTCGTCATAGAACGCTTGTTTTTATATCCAGAGATATTTTTTATTCATATATAGATTGACTTTTTGAAATAGTGATAACAAATATCATCATTGTCTGGAATATACTGTTACAATGAAGATCCTGGTGATAAATACAATGAAAATAAATAGTGCTTGAATGAAATAAGTATAACTAGAGATGATATATTCCTTTCCCTTAACTAAGATATTACCTTTAAATAAACTGATTTGAAGTACGGTGTTAAACCTAGTGTTGGTGCTTAACTTCCCGTACAACACCTCTTAACTAAAACTTGAAGTCACACATTCTTTCACTACACAAGTCCACAACAAACGGGTGCAAACACACTTAAACACATGCCTGTTGTGGAAAGTTATTAATACTACTCGATCAATGGTCGAAGGGGTCCTCCAAGCAATTTTACACAACAATGGAGAAATAGGTTGCTTTAAGATAGGCACTTTGTTTGGCCCTCACTCCATCCATAAAAAGCAAAGAAAACACTACGAAAACACCCACGGCTAACCTAAATAAGGTGACCTTACCCCCCCCCCCCCCCCCCAACGACAAAAAATGTCAAATTATGAAATTTCGAGACCAAAAAAAAAAAAAAAATGTGTCCGCTTACCCCCCCCCCCCCCCCCACTGAGCGACTTTTCGGCCGGCGCGATTTTCAAATTTTCGGGAGCAAAATATTTTAAACCCCCCCCCCCCTTGAAAAAATCCTGCGTACGCCCCTGGGTGGCTTAATTCCTCTTTTAAGAGAAAACTCTTAATAAGAGCGGCCTCTTGCTCGAACTCGTACTCGCACTCAGCATTCATGGTGGTATACAACTCACCTCCCTGGTACTACGGTACACATGCAATTGCAATCGCACGCAGCCTAGCCAGCATGCATGCATGCAGCAAGCGGAGACCGTATACCACTCATAAAAACGATACCTTCAGAATGGAACGATAGCTGCAAAACGGAACACTATCTGCCAGCCACTCTGCGTGGTGGGTTACAATATCTGCCGGCAGATTTTGTGACGGGAACAATATCTGCCGGCGGATTTTGTTCCGCGAACACGATCCGCCAGTCACACTAAACGCCGTCACACCGGCTCCCGAGTAAGGGAACCATCTCCCAAACAATCATGATTCTACCTCCCTACCTTTCTTTACTTTGACATTAAGACGAGTTTGAGTAGGGGGTGGCGGCACGGGGAACTTCCGTAACAAAGCAAACGTGTGGAGTGTGGAGGGGAGAAGGATGAGAGTGTGTGTGTGTGTGGGAGGGAGAGAGGGAGAGAGAAAGAGAGAGAGAGGGGGAGAAAGAGAGAGAGAGGGAGAGAGAGAAAGAGCAGAAGGTGCGTATTCTAATGGTCTCCGAACATAATTATTCAGGTCGAACTCCGTTGAACGAAAGTAATGAGATTAATTTTTTGTATTTGATTCTTTGTTGTTTCCTTGCGATCTTGTTTTTTTGTGTGTATACAAGTCAACTTTACATTTTGTGTATTTAATGACGTATTAACATTCTGTACAGTGTGTCCAAGAAAAAACGAAACCGAGAACTATCAATGTTTTATCGTAACTTAGTTACATTTATAATTAATAAATGACACATATCTGTAAAACTTAGATCCTCCTCTTTCATTTGATGCAACTAATATGATGCATATTTCACGCATGAGTGATTAAAATGAATTTGAAGAGAGGAAACCAAAACGTCATTTGGCGGACGGTATCTGAATTTCAACGAGAAAATCACATTTCCAGAAAGTTGAGTATCTGCCCTTCAATATGACACCTCAATCGGGAAAAATGAGCAAGGAATGACAAAGTTCTGTTTGTTTAAAGTATTGCTTGTATTTCCATAATTTTATCAAACGAATTCGTTTTCACTGGCTGCCTGCCGTAGCAACAAGCAAAATTGACAAAAGACTTAACTCCGTTTCGTTGACAATCAGCCATGCATAATGTCTTTCGACTACGGCTGATTGTCAACGAAACGGAGTTAAGTCTTTTGTTAATTCCGTTTGGTGCTACGGCAGTCAGCCAGTGAAAACGAATTTGTTTAATACAATATGGAAATGCAAGCACTACTTTAAACAAACAGAACTCTATTATTCCTATTTTATTTTTCCTGATTGAGGTGTCATAGGAAAGGGTACATACTCAACTTTCTGGAAATGTGATTTTCTCTTTGAAATTAAGATACCGTCCGCCAAATGACTTTTTGGTTTCCTCTCTTCAAATTAATTTCAATCACTCAGGCGTGAAATATGCATTATACGAGTAGTATCAAATGAAAGAGGAGGATCTAAGCTTTACAAATATGTGTGATTTGTCAATTATAATTGTGAATAAGTAATGATAAAACATCGATAATTCTCGGTTTCGTTTTTTCTGGGACGCACTGTAAATGTGTATGTGTTTCAGCTCACGCTCGGGGGTCTACAAACATGGCCGATGAAGTGTTGCATACGGAGGATAATCATTGCCAGCCGATTCTTGTAAATGGTGAATTGATGCCCACAGTGCCAGAATACATGCCCTCGTTTCCCGCCACATTGAAGGGTATTAAACGACATTTCGTTTGCAAGTTAGCTGGTGAGTTTTAGGTTTATAGTGATGATCATAACAGTTATGATATGTCAGTCCAACTTGTAGATTGATTTAAAATATCATAACTCA